ACTTTTTTAGGAATAGTTGTATTCATACGTATTCTAGTTTGTGAAAGCAAAGTAAAAATTAAGCAAAAATAATGCATTTATTGACTTATCAAATTTGTTCATCTCATATCATGTCTAAAAGGTACTGTCCAACAAATCATTTTGTAACTAAAGTGAGATGTCTGGTTTGATTTAAAACTTGAAATGTACTTAAAAGTGAAAGATGAGCAAAAGCCAATGAAAAGAGCCATTTGTTTAATCATGCAGCAATAGTGCATCAGTGTCCCGCCCCTTATCTGAAGGGAACACTTTCAATGCCACAGGATACTCCATTCTCCCTTTCCAGCCTCACTTTTTGCTGACACTGACAGCAAACATGTCAACTCTGTGAACATTGTTGGGAATGTGGAACCTTATTACCCTTCAGAATGAAGTGAGAAAACAAAATCCTTTCACTCTAGCACATCAGGCAATGGCAATCACTTACTGACATAAACATGATCACAACCAGAAGCAATCCTTTTTTCCACACCCATAAGAAATTAATGTTTCCTATAAGTTATATGATTTTTATTATTAAGCAAACTATTTTTTTTCCTGACTAAACAGGCCTGGACTTTTAAAAGAGAGATGGAAGACATCATATCAAGCAGCAAAGTAAAGTGTAAATTAGGTGCAAAGTTATGTGAAATTTGAAGATTGGTACTGGATGTGAGACCTTTCAAAGGTAAATTCCCAAAATGCATACACTGTTCTTTAGAAAGACCCAGAACCAATCAGTGCCAAAGAAAGCAGTGTTTGGTAACAACTTCCAGCAATAAATATCAGGATGTTTTAAAGCCTGTTTTCACAGGCTTCTCTGTCTCAATACTGATTTTAGAATATTTTGATCGAATCCAAAATAGCAACACATAAAGTGCTGAAATGGAGAGGGATAATCCTGTCCTTAATGCTGCTATTGAAATACATACTTCTGCACAGCCTAGAAAAGAGTATCCCACCGAGATTTCTACAGATGGCCTGGGTAGGAAAGAGAGTAGACACGATCTCCCCAATACATAAAACCAGAAAGGGAAAATAAATCACCGTCAGAAATATAAAATTAGTTAGACACAAAGTGCTGTCAAAAGCATAAAGCAAATAAATGGGGGGAGGGGGAGGAAATTCCCTCAATCTCCTTCATATTTATGGCAGTAACAGGGATTACTTGTAACAACAGCAGGGTTTTTTTAAAATGGTAGTGTGTTTCAAGTTGCCAGCATGCTTTTAATTATGTTTAGAAAGTTGAAATCTATTGCATGAACCAGACAAATTAAATCATTCAAAATCATAATGAAGTTGCTGATTCGTTAACATTTTTAAACCCGCAATTTACATGCTTAAACATATTTTTAACAATACCCTTTTAATACTCAAAGCCATTCACACTGGTAACTCCAGTACACCGACTGATGTTGCATTTATAGTATTTCAAGGAGGATATTTGGGTCTCTTGAGTTTATATTTTAACATAGTCAAAATACACACCCTCATAAGACAGAAGAAGAAATCCAAGCCTTGATGTACACTAAGACTGACCCAAACTGCCTGGAAACAAACAGGAAATCCACAGATTTTTAAGGTCAGGAGGGACCGCTGTGATTACCAATCTAACTTCTGCACAAAGATTTCACCCCAAAAACCCTGCAGCAAGTGTTCTGAAACTGAATTACAGCTCAACATCCATCACAGAAACATCCTTAATGTAAATCAACTAAATCAGGATTAGGACTTCAAATATGAAAACAGCCTCAATTTTCCTTTTGTGAAGAGGTAGAACACATGAGCCTCACCAGTACATCAGGGTGACACGTTGACAGCACAGCAGGATGAATTATTAAGGATGTTACTCCTCCATACACATTTCCACCTTTACTACACATAATTGTAAGCAATTATAATGAATGACAGGATGATCCGTTAAAATATTTCAGTTTTGAAAATTCATTTCTACACTGTCATGTGTTAAAATACAAACACGAAATACCATTTATTGTTTTTTCATGAAAATAATTCTAGCAATCTGCATGTTTTATCATTATTTACATAGTAAATGTCAATTCATTCATCAAAAAATGAAGGGTTACTCCTACAAGGAAGAGAACCCAAAGTCACATCAACTATATCCTCATTTCTGTTGTGTAATATTCACTTTCTGCTCCTTCCCCCACATTTCGTATCATCAGATCTAGGGATATATCAGAGCATGCATCTGGATAGATAAGCTGAATAAAAAAAGGTTCACATACCATTTATTCTATTAGCACATAAAGGAACTTTAAATCAGTGTCCTGTTTGCAAGCAAACAGATATAACCAAAGGTATACAAGTGTTTTCAGAGTAAGAATTTGCCTTCATATATTTCACAATTCTTGTCTGAACACTGGAAATCACATTTTCCAAGGCTGCTTCTATTCTTGCAGCCATCACAAACTTGAGGGGAGAAGGGGCAAAAACATAAGGCTGTTCGTCTTTCCTTAAATGCTGCCATACTACAGCCATAAAGACAGTAGTTTTATATTGTATTAAAGAATGGAAATCCAAGTTAATTAAAATCACATTTGAAAAAAACCACACGTTTAAATCACCTTCAAAACACAACTCCCACAACTTTTATTTAAAATTGGCTTTGAAACTTTGCTATTTACTTATGCTGCTACTGATACCTGATGTTTATCTGTCAAACATGTAATGAAAAGATAATAGACTAAACTATGGTTTTAAAATTTATTGGCATTTGTAAGAGAGCCTTCTCACAAAATTAAATGCCAAGTTTTTCTCTTGGTGTCTGTTCAATATCTCTGATGGCTGATCTTTAGGAAAAAAAAACTATTTGAGGCCAAATTTGACACAAGTCTTAAAACATGGCATAAAATTCCTTTTTAAAACTACTATTATAAGAGCACAGATTTTTCTCTCATTTTCAGGGCAAGAGACAAACGATTTCCATTCCCCATTCAAACATTTTTAATTTGAATTTGTAAGTACCAGAAATCAACAATCTAACACAATGAAGACGCAATATGAGATATGAAGCTTCATAGCCCACCTTTCTTCTTGACTGGCATTCTTCTTCCTACTTCTGAATCTGGTTGCAAGCACTTATTTACAGGTACTAACGAAGTACTACTGAAGAACTCTGCGAGGTCAAGAATTTGCTATCTACTGCAGAACACTTTTACAGTTCAGTTAGGAAATGCAGCTTCAGTCTTCATTTCTATGAATACTTGCTGTTCTCTTGTTTTGGACTTCTGATGCTTCCCACAAATAAGAAAAAAAAAAGGGGGGGGAAGAAGCTTTTTGATTCTTTTTTAAGAGATGTTTTCAATTTCTTTAAAATATATCTGAATCTATAAAAATACAAGAGCAAACGTTCCTCGGCAATATAAAACCTTATTATAACTCCTCTTCTGGCAGCAAAGTTTGAAAATTAAAAGATTTTATGCAATACAATTAAGGCACAGTCCATCTCTAGGCAGCTGATTCAATACTCCACCTGTACATGCTCAAAAACATATCATTTGCAGGACAAAAACGCCCAAATAATCCAAATAAGGAGGAAGACAAAAACAATCCAAAGTGTCTCTTTAACTTCTTGAATTAATTTTGCTAGTTATGTATTAGAGGACTACACAGCAGACTGAAAAGGTCCCTTTTTCCTCACCAGACAACAGCCTTCAAATATCACCCTCTTACCCAACAGAAGTCACTGGGCAGTCACTTTCATTTTTATTATCTGCAAGCCACCCAGCCTTACGGTCTTTAATGTCCCTCTGATCCTCCCATGTATTAAAAGAGGATTGAAAACGAGGAAAGCAATCCCTTGACCTGGAATTATTAAAGTGACAGTGCTGCTCACTGGGCACTTGGGCAAAGCAGATTGCTTATACTGGAGCCATTTACTTCATGCCATTCCTTCCCTTGCACAGCAGCAGCCAGCTCATGAAAGAGGAATAAGCAGAGTTAGAAGAAGAGCTTCACAAATGGTTCATTTTCAGAAACAATGAAGTATTAATGAAATAAAAAGCAAGCCATGAGATCAGTCCGGAGTTTCCCACTCAGAAGCGCAGCTGGTTGGCTTCAATACGAGCCTCTCTCTCTCTCCCCCTTTTTCTGGAAGAAAAAACAACAAAAACAAACAAACAAACAAAAACCACACAGAAACAAAAAGAGAAACAGAAACGGGATTGGTTTTCCTCATCTACTTCGTTAAAGAAATGTATGAAAAAGGCGAACAAGCTTTGAGCTCTTCGCTTCCCCGTGCGAATGAGGAGCTGCGATGCACATGCCGGGGCTTCGCTTTGCATCGTCTGTGGCCGATGGGGACCGTGTTTGCGAAGGGGGCGGCTCTGCTTTGCTCTTTCGTGTTCACAACCGGAGTCTGCCCGTCCCCGCACTCCCAGGCAGGGGCGCCGGGGCTCTCCCCCTTCTCAACCCACCCCTCCTTCCTTCCCACGGCTCTCCCGAACCCAAGGGGGACTGTGCTGCGTTCTGAGGCGGGACAGGGCACAGAGGGCTGGCTGGGTCGGGGGGGACTGGCATGGGGCGCAGGTGAGCTGGAGGAGCCGGGCTGGGTTTAAGGACGAGGACAATCCCCCCCGGGGCTGCCGAGGGACAGGCGGGACGCAGGAACTGCAGGATGAGGAGGGGACGGCGGTGGGGCGGAGCGAGACGCAGCCGGGGCGAGGGGCGCTCGGAAGGGCGGGACGGGCAGGGAGCACAAAGGAGCCGGTGGCGAGGGAAGAGGGCGGCGGGCGGGAAGGGCGCGGGGGCTGAGGGAGGCGGGCGGGGAGAGGGCGCGGGCTGAGGGGAGGGGGTCAGCGGGTTACCCCGAGGACTGGGCCTCCCCCCGCCGCAGGGAGGGGGAGCCCCCGCGTCCCGGCCGCCGGTGCAGGGTCCGCGTTCAGCCCCGCCGCCATCGAGGAGCCGCCGCCATTCGCCGCCCCGGCAACCAGCGCCGCGCCCCGCCCCCGGCCCGCGCCCAATCGGCCGCCGCCATGCTGGGCCAGCCGACAGCCGCCCAATCGGAGACGGCCTCTGAGGCTCCTGGGTCATGTGAGCGGGGCAAGATGGCGGCGCCCAAGAGGAGGGCGTGCGGTGGGCGGAGCCATGTTGTGGGCGGCGGGGCCGGGGCGGCGGGAGCGGCCCGGCGGGAACGGCTGTGCCCGGGCATCTCAAGGTCGGAGCCTGAGCCCGGCGGGAACGGCTGTGCCCGGGCATCTCAAGGTCGGAGCCTGAGACCGGCGGGGTGGCCGGGAGGGTGAGCGCGGTGCGGGCGCTGGTAAGGCTGGGGTTCGAAGGTTGGGGGTGAGGACTCTGTCCTGAGCCGGGGGCTTGGGGCCTCCAGCGGCGTGCGAAGATGAGGGAGAGATAGATGTGTGTGCAAAACGTGTGGGAGGGTCAGGGGGCGGTGGGTGGTTACAGCTTCGTGACGCTGTGTCTGTGCATTACCCAGGGCGCAGGTTTGGGACCCTCCTGAGACGGCCTGGAGTGATCCCGGTGAGATCCCGCCCGCCTGTCCTGCTTTCTCCGCTCCTGCATCCTGCCAAGCACCAACCGAAACAGGCGCAGTCCTACAGATAGGGCTTACGACTCAGCCTTCACGTTATAAGAGTTACTTAAGGTAAATATGGCTGGCAAAGTGAGTCTGGGAGAATTTCCTCGGAGGTTAAATGTCTAGAAAACAAGCGTTTGAATCACTAAACACCAGGTTTAATCGAGAGTTTTTGATGTGGGTTGATCTCAGCTGGTTGCCACGTAGCCACCAAGATGCTATGTTGCTCCCCCTCCTCAACGGGACAAGGAGAAGGTATGAATAAAAGCTCATGGATTCAGATAAGGACAGGGAGATCACTCACCAATTACCATTATGGTCAAAATAAACTAAACATTGAGAAAATTTAATATATTGTCAATCAGAGTAGGGTAATGAGAAATAAAGCCAGATCTTTAAAACACCTTCCCTCCACCCTTCCATTCACTCCCGATTTTCTCTATCTCCTCCCTCTGAGCAATGTAGGGAGGTGGGGAATGGGGGTTGCTGTAGTCAGTTCATCACATGTTGTCTCTACCACTCCTTGCTCTTTGCAGTCTTTCCCCTCTCCAGTGTGGAGTCTCTCCCAGAGGAGACAGTTCTCCACAAACTTCTCCAACCTGAGTCCTTTCCACAGGCTGCAGTTCTCCATGAAATGCTCCATTGTGCGACCCTTCCACAGGGTGCAGTCCTTCAGGAACAGCCTGCTCCAGCGTGGGTCCCCCACAGGCTCACATGTCCTGCCAGGAAACCTGTTCCAGAGTGGGCTCCTTTCTCCATGAGAGCCACAGGTCCTGCCAGGAGCCTGCTCCAGTGTGGCCTACCCACAGAGTCACAGCCTCCTTCAGGCTCTGGCATGGGATCCTCCAGGGGCTGCAGGAGCACAGTTTCCTCACCTTTGTCTGCACCATGGGCTGCAGGGGACTCTGCTCCAGCACCTGGAACAGTTCTACCTCTCCTGCTCCACTGACCTTGAGTGCCTGCAGGACTGCTTCTCTCACCTTTTCTCTTCCAGCTGCTCATGTGCAGTAGTTTTTGCCCTTTCTTAGCTATGTTATCCCACAAACACTGCCACTTGCTGAGGTTAGGTTTAGACTTGGCCAGTGGCAGGTCCATCTTGGAGCTGACTGGAACAGCTGATAGGGGGAAGCTTCTGACATCTCAGAAGCCACCCCCGCAGCCCCCCGGCTACCAAAACCTTGCCACACAAACCCAATACAACTGACATGGTATATAAGTCTCTGGCTAAGAGTACCAATAAAAAAAGTCCTTATGTGTGGAATATAAAAGCAGAGTAGGTATCTTTATCATTTCTTTAAATCTTTACAAATTACGGATTTATTTGGGGTTTTTTTTCCTTACAGGTCTGTTTGACAGTTAAGTCAATTTAAACCTGGAGTACTGCCATGCAAAATAGGACATACATTTGTGATTCATGGTGGCAGAGAGTCTAAATGTTTATTTGATTCATACTGGGGCTGTGTAACTTTGGTTGCATTTGTTTATTTTTTCTTTATGATCCAGGACTTCAAGATGACAGGAAGAGAGTTTCTTGAACTAGATTCTCCACAGCAAAGTCTAATTTCGGAAAGACTCAAGCGGATGGAAATCATACAAAAGATGTTAAATGAGCTTCCTAAAGCAGATCAGTAAGTGCTGGTAAAATAAATGAAGATAAGTGCATCAAACATTTCAAGTCTTTTGGAGGCTTTTCTTCTTCCTTACTCTCATATTACAAATTTTCTTTGCAGTTACAAAAATACTTAATTGTATTTTTTCAACTAATACTTGTTAGTGCCCAGAAGAGAGAACTTGTTTTATGTTCTTCCAATGTGGTTAGCTCTGTGTTAGCTCTGGTCCTGTCCAGTTGGTTTCTGGTATGTGTTCCCAGGTGCTTAGGGTTTTGAGATGACTGATCAGCCCTAACTGGCTCTGAGCATTCACACAGTCCTGTGCTAATGCTAATACATTTTCTAGGAAATTGAAATGTGATTCTGCTGGAGTCATCTTGTGTCCAGCAGGGCTGGCCTGGGGCCAGAACTTAGTGAGTGTCAACCTGCTGGTTTCTGTATTTCATTCTGCACTGCTTCCCGTTTCAGGAAGGTGAGACTGAGGTATCCAGGTGGTGGTGAAGGAGTCAGCTGGAGTCCTGCAGGCTCACCAGCAGGGTTCTGTGCAGCACAAAGCCAGCTAAATTATTTCTGGGCCTCACAAATGACCTTTTTGTTTTGTGATACTGCATTTTACTGCAAAACATTACAGGACCTGAGCTGGTTCTGTAGGAGCCATTTGCATGCGTGTATCCGCTTGGATAAATTCTCTGTAAATAAGAGTAATTCAAAGCTTATTTTATTTATATTTTTTTAATAGGACTGAACTGCTGGCTAAACAAAGTGCCGGTAGTAACACAGGGCCTCCCCACAGAGGTGAGAAAGAAAAGGGTGCAACTGCATGGGATCTGCTGCCCTCACATACAACTTGCAACACTCCCTCTTGCCCAGGAGAGCAGGGGAGGCAGATACCTCAGTGGTGATGTGGTAACCTCTGGATAGAAACTGTGGTACTTAAGGACTTCTGGGCCTTGGAAAGAAGTAGCTGCCAGTCCTGGCAGGACTTTAGGCTTGTATATCCAGAGGGGAGGTCACTAATGGGTGGGAGGGAAGAGCAAACGTGCCACAGTCAGACTGAGAGAGTTCCTGTTCACCAAAGCACTTGTTTTTAACACTAGGGAGCTTGTATTTAAAGCAAACAAACAAAACCCCAATGCTTCCATCCTCTGTTTCTTTCCTTCTGTGCATTTTAGCAGTTCTGTACTTCACTAAGCCTAAGCAGTTTCTGCTGGTCCTGAGTACATTAATTTGGTCTGGTTTGGATACTTAAATACGCTGCTAAAATTTTAATCTCTGTCCTTCACATTTATGGATGTGCCCACCTGCATTTCACTGCCTGTGATTGTGTAAACATCCCAAGAGAATGAAATGGCTGGTTTGCAGCAAGGACTCTGTGGACATTCTGAGAATGATGTCCAGTATTGAGAAAATGGAGATTTGAAATGCAAATTTCTTTTTAAAACAAAGCACAAAAAAAAGAATAGCTCCTAAATAAGGGCAAGAGAAGAGATCTGACCAGTAAAGTTCTTTTGCTTGCTCTCTGTATAGCATCAGAATTGAAATGTTAGTAGCTTATTTTTGTCTTTGAAAATCTGGTATATACTGAGAAATAAGGTATTTTCCTATTCAAAATGAGAAATTATTGGTGTCTTTGATGTCAGATGTTTTTAATGTTTTAAGTTTTGCACATCTCTGAAGTATTTCCTGTATGATTTTTTCAGTGCTTAATGTTACTCTAAGCATTAAAATGTAGAAGAATTTTAAGTAGACTGATTTTTTCTAAAATTACGTATTTTAATTGCTAAGTGGCGTAAAGATTGTCACTTCTTATAACTACAAGTAAATATGACATTTGGCCTAGCATAATTTTTGTGATCAGTTAAGATTTTACTTTCTTTGGAGCTTTAGCGATAAATACAATTTTAAGAATAAACACTTTCAACATAATAATATTGGTACAGCCTCAGAATCAGAGTGCCTTCCAGCTAATTGCTTCATCTGGCAATAGTTGCCATTTAGATTTGTGGAAACCTAAGGCAAAGGGCTGTTTCCGCTAACCAGATTGTGCCAGGTATAATGCTAAAGATAATGCACAACTTCCTTCTGTCAGTCAAATGAAGTTACATAAATTTGCTCATCAGGCCTGTAAAATTGGCACGCTTGCCTGTTCCCTCTCTTGTGTTACCTGCTGGGATGTGATGTACTCAAACGGGAACTGTTTGTTAAGATATTAAATGCTGCTGACTCTCTCTGACCGCTTTGTTCTATTCTGCCTTCACCCTGTTACAGATTGCAACACGAGTAGTTGCTCTAAACCATATGTTAAAAATATCGTAGATAACAGAATCCAGTCCCTCTGTTATCAAGGGAGAAATAGAAGCTCCAGTTCTGTAAACCAGTACATTGGACTTCTGTAGCCTTTAACTAGCAAGGTAGGACCTTAAATCCATATGTTTCTTACACACAAGGAAAGCTTACAGCCCTTCAGCATACAGGTTCACTACTAATGATCGCCAGCAGCTGCTGAGATTATTATTGCAAAGTCTTAGTTGTCCCATCTGATCTGTTCTGTAAGCTCTTATGTTAAAACTAAACCTGTACTTTTCAGTATGCAGGCTAAAAACATGACTGATTATAGGAGCTACCTGTGATTCTATATACATATTTCTTAATTTCTTTTCAGAAAACATTCTCCTTAGAAACACGTTGATTAGGAGAGCAAATTTAATGAAGCTTCCATTAGCTGTAATAAACTGAAAAAAAAAATTGTAGAAAAGGCCTCTCAGCCTTTCTGTCATTCCACTCCTAAAGTGTGTGTAAACTCGGGCATGTAACAAAGGATGCTGTACTGGTTGCTTCTGAAAGTAGTTCCTCTCTATTCTGCACTTGTGAGTGATTTACCTCTCTTACCCCTTGTTTTAGGATATTCAGAAAAGAATTGTTAACACTGAGTAAACTGTTTTACGGTTCTGAATTGCTAAATTGACTTTCCTCCTTTCACAGGAACCTTTGTAATCATGGATCATACTTCCTGGCAGCAAATTCAAGCTTATGTGGCTTAGCAGCAAATAATTTCTTCAGGAACATCCTAAATATCAGAGGGGCTTCCTTGGTGTCCGGCGTGCCAATGGCTGTTATTCCATTTCTTTCAACAGCAGCAGTTTATGAAGTTTTTGTGCGTGGCCCTTTATTTTCAGGTAAAAACCTTTTTATTCCCTGTTTTTGAAAGCACTTTGCTTTCCGTCCATAACATCACACTAGAGGAGCTTTTCTTCCCTGCAGAGCAGTGCTCTTGAAATGTTGTGGTCTTGGAAAACCTCAGTTTGTAAAGCAGGGTTTGAAAAACAATGCATTGGACAGCAGTGAGTTCTTGAGGTGGAGTGGGAAAGGAGATACATGTTTATGTAGATTTATAATAATTCTGCTACACAACTTGTTTTTAGATTTTTCACTCAAAGTCATGTAAAAGCAACTGCAACAAAGCAGTTCACTTTCCCCCGTCTGTACAATTTTATTTGAAGGTCAGCTTTGGAGTGATAAATTCTTCGTGGGTTGGAATGGGAGTGATTATTTTTTGCAGAAGGAAGTGTCCTCCTTTCATAATTTCTTGCGTGCCTGTACAAGGGAAAATTTCTGTCAAGGGCCTCTTTCCACATTCTTGCACACAGCTTACAAATCGATGTGGTGGAGCATGTGTGGATATTGACTGAAATATTGTTTGCCATGCAGGTCAGCTGAACTGTGAGGTCTGTGCCGTGGTCAGAGGAGGATTAGTAGGGGCTGTTGTGGGTGCTCTCTATCCTGTTTTCCTGGCTCTCCCCCTGAACGGAAGCCTTGCAGCCAGGTATGTCTTATTAACCTGCAATGAATCAAGTGTATTTATTGGTTAAATCTTCAGCTCTCAGAGTAAATTCTGTGGAATTTTAGTCTGTGCACACCTGTCTTGTAGGCATGTAATACATGGGGAGGGGGTTTATATTAAGGTCATCTAATTACAAGGTGAAGTTTGTAAGAGCTACACCAAGGCTTTAAAATGAAACAAGATCTGCAAACCGATTCACTGGGAAGCACTTGTATTTAACTGGAACCCTACGAGCCACCCAGGATGTGCCTGGGTGTGGGCAGTGGTGGCTACCATCTTGCCAAGCTGTGAAGATGGCTGGAGAGCTGAGAGACCTCAGTGACCCTGGGCAGTGCCTAGCAGCCAAACTCCCTGGCAGGTGTCGTTCTGTGTAATTCAGAGCACAGCAAGGCTTGGCAAGACTCAGTACTGGGTCAGGATCTTTTACAGCATTTATCCAGAGAGCTCAGTACCACCAGGTGAGTATTACTTAGGAGAGGAAGGAGAAAATGACTATCTACCTAAATATTTATAATGTTAAATCTTGACATTTGCATGGGAAAAAGAAGTAAGTTTCTATCACTCTTTATGTTGTTCAGGTACATGTCATCTCCCTTGCCAGGGAAAGAAAACGCAGTCCGCTACTGGCTCACAGTCGCTCAGCCTGTCTTTAGAAAGATGAGTCTGGGTGTACTGGTACAGGCTCTAACTGGATTATATCTTGCCACTAAACACCACGGAATATATGTCAAAATACTACAGCAGATGCACCTTAGCAGGGACCCTGAAGAGCTACAGTAACTGTTCAATTGCCTTGAATAAGTAACCATAATAAACAAGGAAAGGAAGTTGTTGCTTTCTGTCTTTTTTTAATAGAAAAACAAAGACTCTGCACTGATACTTTTCAAGTTTTGAACTTCAATGCAGGTTAAGTTTTTTGTTATGCCCAGCATAGAGTATACACCTGAATAACAGTATTATAGACAGGTGTGTTTGTTTGGAAATGGGGGCAAAAAACTATTTATACTGCCTGCTTAGTGTTTGGCTCTAAGGTGATGCTACATCTTTTAGAAGTTCTTAAAATAAGTATTCTTGGAAAAGGAGGCTTTTTCTCCGTAACGCAAACCAGAGTTTGGTGGGTTTTTTTAAAAAGGGGGGGTCAAGGCAGGGGTTTTCTAGATACTCCTCAAAATCTGAGTACTATTCTCCCTTTTCTCCATTCTGCTAGCACAAAATTTCTGTCACAAGGTTGACAGTCCTTTAGGCTGTTAAGAGGGTCACGCTGTACACTGAAGAGAACACTACCACAGAGCAATCAGAGTGATACTCGTGTCAGGCTTCTCAGCATGTATATCAAGCAACCAAAAAACAGTCTAGTCAGAGCACACTTTGTCCTTGTTTTGCCTTGAAATTACTCTTTTCCTGAAGGATGGAAGTGTGTCAAGAGGCCTCCGAGGGCTGGTGCTATTACTGTGATATCTCAGTTACTTCTAGTTCTAAGATCAGTGGTCTAAAGTAATGCATTTACAAGTCAGGCATGTCTTCACATTGGTGACTGTTGGTGTCTGTTCTAGAGCAATATAAAGTGCTAGGAGGAATTTCTTCACAGAAGGGGTTGTTAAGCATTGGAATGGAATAAGCATTCCCAGGGAGGAAGTGGGAGGTACCATCTCTGGAGGTGTTCAAGAAACGACTGTTCGTGGCCCTTAGTGCCATGGTCTAATTGAAAAGTCTGGTGACTGGTCAGAAGTTGGACTCCCATCTTTTCCAACCTAGATAATTCTGTAATTGAAAAAGCTGTACAGTTACTGGCCAATTCATGTACACTTCAGTAAAATTCTAGTATCCCCTGAGATGCGTGTGGAAATATTTATTAATTAGAATGAAGAATTCAACACTGAGACTAATTGAATTGGGTTAAAATTTATGCTGTAACACTGATGAAAAATGTATTAAGGAGTTTCATCGTGTTTATCTACATTTTCCTTAAAAATCTGTCATTACAGCAGGAAAATCACACACTTTATTTCTCTATAACCAGGAGTAGCAGCCTGATTTGTACAGGGAAGCAGTAAATACAGACTACCTGTTGTTACACAGAGATAGTTCAGTTTCTCTTGATTGTAAGTATTGCTGTGTCGTGTGGGGTTCCATACTGGTCTGCATCGAAACAGAGAGCTTGGCCTTACCTTAACCACCCTGACTTCGGGGATTCTCACGGAGCAATTATTTTACATGACAGTGCATTGTCATATCTCCAGAAGCCATCAGACTAACCAACAGAACCACTTACCTGCGATAATAAAAACATAAAATTAAGGTGTTATTTTGCAGTAGTTATCTTTAAGAATGGCTATGACAGGCTCAGCGATTATTGCATCCGTTTCTGATGCTGGATATCAACTTTGCAATCTATTCCACAGCCCCCTGCAAATGATACGCCCATCTTTCTGATACATACCCCAGTCCCGCTCTTGGCATCCTCCTGCTAATGAGCACAGAATCATTTCTCCACAGGGATTATTTCCCCACATCTACATATCCCACTTCAATTAGGCGTAAAATCTGTAGAATCGGCAGCTGGCAATATGGAATTTTGGTGCAGGGTGTTCTTTAAACAGAGTCCATTTGAACAGCTCCCATACTTAACATATCTTTCAGACATTTTACAGTCTAGCAGTAAATACAGCCCTATAACCAGAATATTGCTGATTCCAGCAGAAAACCTCTTTAAAAGCTCTAGAAAACATGGGATTTTAAAAATCAGTACATGTACAAAAGGCCTGTTTCACACGGAAAACTGATTACAGTTTTGACAAATGGCATGAGAAATCTGATAGTCTGGAAGTACGAAGAGATGCCAATTGTTGGAACTGAGTTTCCTACATTTCCTCTGGTACCATCTCTCCAGGCATCTACAGATTGCAGAAGCACCGATTTGTTTTTTTCCTCCCAGATGCTGCAAAGCTCTTCAGAGGAAAGAGAGAGAAGTTAATTTAGAACAGTACTAAGAGTCACAGCACCCGAATCAAACTGTAAAGGACTAAAGGAGAACTGAGCATTAAATTGTTTCCCTATTTAAATGCTTCTTTGATTGACTCTGGGGTGGAGAAATACTGAAAAATGTAGGTAGCACAGCTATGCAGCTGAACACTGGCATCACTTGGTTCTGTGGTATGCACATATTCCAGTGCTGAACAGGGTACTTTCCACAACTACAGGCCAAAAAGGCAGAGCATGCCAGTATGCTTTTGAATTTTTACACTATTTTTTGTCAGATGTTCCTTTTCATCAAGCTGCAGACCACTTTCACTAAAACGCCTGCACATGGAAAGCACTATTTTAAAACTGTCCTACAAATAAAGCATTTAAGATGAACAGAAATCAAAAAGTACAGTGCATGGCTCACTCTGGAGCTCTGAAAATGTTCTGTCCTTTCAGCACCGTCAAACTTTTTGGCTTTAAACACTCACTCCAGTGTTTAGTGTGGAAATACCAATCTGATGAGATTGTGATTCAACAGCATATTATTAACCAGTCATCAAACTTCAGAGCCTAAAAAAAGGACAGAAAGCAGGAAGATGCCAACAGACCACGAAAGGGTTTATGTAACCATTTTCCTCCTCCATGGTATATAGATCAAACATACCCATATTTAAAAAAAATCAAGAAAGAAAAACAACTATAGAACACAAGATGTGCTGATTCTCAGAAGTACAACTCTATCTGCAGTTCAAGGAATAACATCTTTGTCCTTAGCACAAAATTATCTTTAAATACAGATGAGCCAGAACATTTCTGCTGCATACCCTGATCCATTTTATCTTGTTTTCAGTGGATGACCCACAAAGAGAGCAGAAACAGCATTTTCCTTTGTTTTCCCACTTTGTTTACTGAACCAAGACATTAATGAGAAGATGCAAAAACATTTGAGCCCATAAACTGAAAGATCAACAAGTCTGATTTTATTATGATATTATATTCTTATCTGGATGGCACATAATTACAAGGAAACATTTACAATATATTTTCAAGTATTGTGTCATTTCAAGGCTTTCACTTCAAAAAGCTACATTAATAATACACCATACAGATAGTACAGTCAAGAGTTTCAAATAGCTTCCTCCCCACTATTTGGTTTAAATATGATTCAGTAGGCACTAGAAATGCCTGCAGCCACTGACTTTCTTGGGACTTAACCTTGTTCTTGTACCACAATACATCATTTTGCATGTCAGAAAATCAGCTGCTCTCAGACACAGCTCACAGGTCATGTCACGACAGAGCGACGTGCAGGTTCACACAGAGACCAGAAGAACTGAGTCCCTGACCCTGCCATTTAGCAGTGATGCGACAAGAAAGAATGCATATTTAACTTAAAAAACACTTCTACACTGAAGTAACCGTGAAAATGCCACTGTAACATCCCACACTACATTAATGTTTTTCTTTTTGTCAATAAACTGCAAAATAAAGCATGTTCCATGAAGTCTGAGCTAGGCAGGTTGAGCCTAGGTTGAATCTACATTATTTCCATTTTGCATATCAGTCAGTGCAAGTCCTGGTGGTTAACTCTGACTCCTGTGGCACGAGTATAACCCATCAGTTACAGCAGCTACCCAATTTAAGACTGAAACTTTGAACAGCCCTGCTGATCCACCACAGAGGTGTAAGGTAACACATATCCCGCTAAGTCTCTTTTGTGCTGGCAATATACCCTGAACAGATGGAATTCTGCATACAGTAGAGTAAAACCTGGTTGATAGGATATTATCTTTTTAAAAAAATCTTGAATGACAGTAAATGATCCCAGCATTCAACTTTTTTCTTTTTAACCAAAGACAGCAAAAGCCCTGTTACCTCTTTATTCTCATTTCTTATACTACCTTTTAAAATAAAGCAGGAAATGTGGCCAGCAGCTGGTCCCGTCTCTTCTGCCCCAACACAGCTGAATCCACTTTAGCATAAAGAAAAACAAGGATGCTAAATACACATATACTTTATCACAGAGTGATGTTTCACAAAGAAAATCAAACTCCTTTTATACTGATGAACACGTGATAGGGTCTAGCACCAATGAAGCAAGTGACTGGGAGAGAACACTTTCACCTACTTAGCCTTAAACACAAAATTTAAGGCTTTAAGAAGCAGTATTTCAGAAACACTAAATAGATTTTTTTCTTAAGAAGTTGATAAATGAAACTGATTTGGAAAGTATTCTTTGTGAAACCTCACTTTACATATTATCATTTCCACAATCCTTCTTCCCCCAACTGACATACATTTAAACAACCTAAACATTATAATACAACTGAAAAAAGAACCCACTCATCTTTTGTGATAGGGAGAAACACTGACTAGTACAAGAAAACACACACTATTTGTTCTTCAAACTATTCTTCCTCCTATCTCAGTTAACTGTGGAGCATTTTTCAAATCATTAGCCTCTAGAAACATATTTGCTCATCTCCAAAGTGTGCTTAATTGTATGAAGTTACAGATTTCTGGATACTGTAGGAGGCTAAATTAAGAATTCTACAGTAAAATTAAGCACATGCATATACACGCAATATTTTTTAGACTTTAAAGCTACTCTGAAGTAACGTAGGAATTTCAGTGTGCATAGGCACAGAGATTTATTTATGGGAAGATAAAGTAACTAGTTACTTTGATGCACTGCATTCTTCAAACCCAATTCTCATTAGAGGTCCATGCAAAAGACTGACTCCTCTACATGAGGATTCTACTGTACAGATTTAACCAGTGTTCAGGTTCTGTTTAATCAGACATAACCCTGCATCATGAATTGGAGCAAGACAGAGAAGGACTTTTAAAAGGTACCGTGCATCCCTAACACTGGACAGTATTTTAAACTAACAGGTCACAAAATTATTTTTTTTAATTCAGTGAAAAAGCAATTTACTTACACTTTTGGGACAGTCCCCTGTGATTAAAGCTATAAATGCACATCCTCTTTATTAGCATGTTTTCCCTTTTCAGCTCATCAGATACTTTGTTTAATAGAAAATTTCTATTTCAAATGGCATGAGCGTTTTTAATTCAACATGTAGCTGTGTGTTGGCTATGTAGCGAATGTATCAGTTTCAAAAAGGAAAAGGGGAAAACAGCTAATGAGAATGATGTGATTGTAGCCTTCATTATTAGTTACCATCCAGAGCTAGAAACATTTCGGCAGAGTAGGCCAAGGACCAGAGAAATTATTTCCTCAACCAGTCCTTACAAGAGACTGGGATAAGCAAAGCAAGCTGTCTGATACCGCATTATGGGAATATATTGATCCTTACCAGGTTGCGAGGTGGAAAACGACTGTTCTTTAACCCCTACACAACGGAGCCTGGCAGGGCAAGCACCTAAAAGAGAAACTGTCAGAGAGGTTTTAATAGTAATGTATAACTGAGATGCAGTACAATTTTATATGCATGCTTTCTTTTGCCGATCATTACTATTTTCTTAAGTCTGTCCAGTGACGATGGAGTTTTTGGTTTGGTTTTTCTAAGCAAGCATTTTCGGCTCCTCAGGAAAGCAGGCTAGACATTATCTGACTCAAGACCGGGTAGTCAGCGTTATCTTTACTGCGAAGCGGAGCCGAGCACACCTTCATGCATCGGGTCGGCATGATCTTTTCACCCAAGTGCTGCGACCGGGCTCTGGCGGCACCTCCGCGTGTGCACCACGCGTGTCAGTCTGCACGACCACGGTCGCACTGCTGCACGCAGCTCTGCGCGACTCCTAACGCCAAACAGGCTCACACCACTACCGTCCACACGCCAGATTCACAGCACCTTGAACCAAGGCCACCGTCTGGCTCCCAACGTGCCGTTCGAGAGGATTTTTTTTTTTCTGTTACCCCGGCCACTTAAGTGCCAGGTCCCCCTTCTCTGCATCTCCCCCAATACCACCCCATCACCACTGTATTGATCCTTTTCCTCCGCACCATCGCCTGTTTCCTCCGCCGCGACGCGAGGCCCTTAGGGGTGAGAACCCCACGAGTACTTGCAGCAGGTACTTGACCCTACATTTTGAAGGAGGCCGCTGCCCGCCGAGCACAGATGGAGCAGAACTCCACCGACACCTGATCCCGGTCCACGTGCAGGCAAATCCCGCCGGGGGCCGCCCACTCCTCCTCCGCCTCAGTCCCCACGGCCGCCTCCTCCAGGCCGCGGGGCCGGGAGCTGGGCAGGGCGTAGTCGTGGTCGCTGCTCTCGCCGGCGGGCTGGAGGTGCTGGTGCTGGCGGCGGGGGCTGCCCGTGTCCCTGAAGAGGCTGGTGCTGAGCTGCAGCCCGCCGGCGCGGGTCCCGGCCAGGCGGCTCAGCAGCTGCCCCAGCGCGCTCTGGTTCGCCAGCACGGCCCGCAGGTAGCTGCTCTCCCGCTCCAGCTCTCGCAGGCGGCGGCTCAGGCCGCGGTTGCGGTCCCGCAGCTGCCGGTTCTCGGCAGCCAGGCCCTGCAGGCGGCTCTCCAGCCCCAGCACGTACTGCTTCTTCTTCAGCCGGTTCAGCCGCGCCGCCGCCGCCGCCTTCAGCCGGCTGCCGGCCCCGCCGCTCCGCCGCCCGGACACGGCCGGACGCGGGCCCTGGCCCGGCGGGGGCAGCGGCTCCGGCTCCTCACAGAAGCAGCCGCTCAGCTCCGCCTCCAGGTCCCAGTCCGGCCGGGCCGCCTCCAGCAGGTCTCCCAGCTCCAGTCCCGGGAACCAGTCCTCTTGCTCCCACACCTCCAGCGGGCCGCTGGGCGCCTCGGCCTCCTTCTCCTGCCGCCGCGGCTCCGAGGCGCCCGGGGGCTTGGGCCGCGCGGGGCCCGGGTCGCTCTCCCCGCCGACATCCCGCCCTCTCGGGGCCTGCCCCGCGCCGGGCAGCGGCCACGCGGCGCCCGACGGGCCGGTCCCGCCGGCCGAGGCCGCCAGCAGCTGCGTGAGGCTGTGGCGCATGGCGGGGGCCCGGCGGGACGGGACGGGAAGGGACGATGCCCGAGGGCAGGAAGCGGCGCGAGGCTGCGGCCCGGCGCTCCCGGCGCGCGGCCTGCCGGGAAGCGGCGCGAGGGGCGGGAGGGGGCGCCGCGCGACTGCGCCCGCGCGCGGGAAAACGGCGGCCGGGAAGGTGGAATGGCGAGGGGGGGAGGAATAGTGTGGGAGTGGGGAAGGAGGGCATCTCAGACTGGGGAAAATGCAAACATTTTCCTAAGAAAGGATGGTCTCGGGCGATGGTCTTTGTACACTTTCAAGCCTAATCAACGAGAAGGGAGATTTAATCCGTGAAACAGGCAGCTAGGAAGCCGTCTCTGACTGATGCCCAGGTGTTGGAAAGACAAATTACTTGTCGGTAGATTGCCTCGTTAGGGTTTAGGGCTTGACATGCTTCAAGGATCTCAGATCTAGGCAGAGGTTAACAGAGCCTGGGGAGAAGGATGTACCACTGCTAGTGGACACAAAGAACGCAGAATTTGCAGGCCACAAGGACATCTGGCAGAACTCCCGAGATAAGAAAGAAACTAATAAACCCAACTCAGCAACTGTGCTGAAATCAGCTCTACTTGGGTAAAAGGAGTACCAGAAGATCACCTTCCAGAAGGAGGTGATCACGACCACTGACTCACAGCACACCTACCCAGAAGAAGGACTGAGCATATGGACTAAATGGCATAAGAAACCAGAAAATCATTAAGCAATGAAGATAGAATACTAATTAATAAGAGACCTGTGTAACTTGTAGTCAATGAACACTAATGCCTTTCTTTGCTAAAATGTATAAATACTTTAAAGTTTTGACAGTTGTTGTGCTTGATTTGTGGAACACCACCAAGCACCCAGGGTTCTGCAATTCTGAAATAAATAACATCTCTCTCGAGTAATTATTGGCTTGTTGCATACAATTAATCCAATTTTTGTAGACAACAGGGTGTGTGAGAGTAGGGGGTGGCTGTGAGGGGAGGTGCGTGTAGTTGAGGGGGGGATGAGAAGTGTGTAGGAGGTGGGTTTTGGGGTGTATGAGGTGTGTGGGGGTGATGGGTGAGGGAATAGGGAGGAAGGTCTCTCACTCATAGACATCACCAAGGGAAGGGAAGGGGCACGTCCCTGGGGCCTGCAGGTTTTGGGGGCTTTCCCACCACCATGCACAGAGGCCTGTGGGACTGTTCTGTCACACAGCGAGGGGGTGTCCCCTGCCCAGATTTAGAGTATTTAGGCACCTGGTTTCAGACTTTCTTGCAGTGACCAGAGCGATACAGGCACTCTTCCCTGCCTATCATCTGTTTCAAACAGAGCAGCCAGCTGTAGTCCTGCTGTGTTACTTCCTCAGACCATGAGTCTAGTGTGTAGCCTGGGTCTGTTGGCATTTACACTTTAGATGCCAGCATTGAAACTAAGTGTGCATATGAGGTGGGCAAAAAAGGGGGAAATATGGTTAAACAGTAGAAGGATGTAGTCCATAAAAACGTGTGTGGAATGACACTTGTAGGGGACATGATCAAAAGAAATTTGTGGTTTGCCATGGAGAAATATTCTCACCTGGCTTTGTGTGGATTCAAGGAGAATGCAGAGAATTTCAGAAGACAAGTCTGCTGGCAGCTACTGCTTATGTAGAATCAGAATCACAGAACAGTTTGGGTTGGAAGGGACCTTAAAGATCATCTAGTTCCAACCCTCCTGCCTTAGGCCAGGACACCTGCCACTAGGTCAAGTTATTTAGAACTGGTCATGGGCTGAAGGATCTCCAGACCTGCTGTTTCTGGTCACTTCTGTACACAAGATCAATAGATACCAAGTTTGATGTGATGCTGTGGCTTTGTAGATGCTCAGGACCAAGCATCTCAAGAGATGCTTAAACCAAGAGATACTCAAACCATTACCTAAATCCTTGAGTTATCTCAAGCTATATGCACGTGGCAAAGAACTTGGAGAGACAGCTGCCTCCAGCTCTGGTGGAGGATGCTGTTTGTGCCATTATGTTTTGGTTGTTTGGTTTTTTGGGGTTTTTTTTGTTCATTTGTTTGTTTGTTTTTTGGTTTTGTTTTGTTGGAGGCTTAAAGAGCAGCAGATGAAACTCAGCAGCTAAAAACTTCCTCCTTGCCTAGGAGACAAGCAAGAGAGAGTGGGAGGTCTCTGTATCCCAGAATGCTGACAGGAAAGATTTTTTTTTTTGTCAAAAACTGCCAGACATGCACAAAATGGAAGGGTGTATCACTACTGTTTTTCTACAGGAAGCACCTAAACCCACAAAAAAATCCTGGGAGAACATTTAGAACCTCAACCTGTTTCAAAGATTATTGAAATCACCCAAAAGACTTGACAATTTATTTTGAGCTGAATGGGCATATAAATAATGCTAAGGCATTAAATAAGGTTAAAAAACCTACAGAAACCTGTACAACTACTAGAAAATTATATACGGTAATTTGTTTGGGTATCAGTTGTTGTGTATTACCTGTTCTTGTATTTAACCTGTTAAGTTCCTCAATTATGACTGTTCATCATTGCAAGGTGAGATTTCTTTCTTGGAGCCTCAGTGTTGCCTCTTACATGCCCAGCCTCTGTTGAACTTCAAGGAAGAATCAAAGACAAAAAGGTAAGGGTTTGAGCTTTTGGCCATCTCGAAAAATAAAGTGCTTTTAACTGGAAAACAAACAAACAAAAAAACCCCACAACCTATGTTTTAGCAGAGGTTAGGACCAAATGGATCAAATTCCTATTTTATGTCTTCCACCCTAATGAATCCCCATTCCGATTTAACAGTGTAGAGATTTACTTAGCTAAAAGTGCAATGACAAAAAATAGTCCTTGTAGGGGGGGTTAAACTGTTGAGGATGTTACAAAGAATCCAGAAAATAGCCCCAGTGCAGTGGTGTGTTACCATAGAGGCACCTGCTAAGAGGAGAAGAGAGGAAAACAACGCAGTTATGCAACAAAGTGACGGAGTTTGACATTCAGTGCTCTTTCTTTAGTCAGCAAATCCATACTGTGCTTTCTGTAAGCATCGAACCGCAGACAGAGCTCGTTGTATGCCTGCTTGCTGCTTTCCAGCTGTCCTTGGAGCTCTTGGACCTTCAGATCTTTGTCCACTGCTGCTGCCCCTTTCTCAGAGCACCTTCGTGCTCTCTGCATGGCTTCTTCCGCAATCTCCAGCTTCTCCCCCAGGTGCTGAATCTCCCGTTCCTTATCTTGCAGAGCTTTGCCCCTCTCCGTGGCCAGGTTCAATAGCTGCTCTTTCTCCTTGTGTGCCCTCTCCAGCTCAGCCCGCAGTTCAGTGCTCTGAGCCTTCTGCTGACTTTCTGCCTGCTCTGCCCTTACAACAGCTTGTTGATGCCTCTCCTGTAGCAGTTGCAGCTGCTTTTTCAGTGAATCCACTTCCCGGGTGTAGGCGCCTGCTTGGTGGCTCTGAGCTTCTAGCAGCTCCTTTTCTCTCTCCTGGGCTCTGCAACTCTCATAAGCATGTTTCTCCTGCAGGGAGTATAACTGCTGTGAGAGCTTCCTGGCCTGGGCAGCCAGCCGGAGAACTTCAGCTTCCTTCTCCCTCACAGCCTGGCTGAAGAGCGCTTCCTTCTCCTGCCGTAGGCGCTTGTTCTCTTCCCACAGCTGCATGTGCCGTTTCCTGTGCTCATTCTTGAACTGGATCATCTTCTCATGGTTGTTGGCCAGATCCATGAAGCGCCCCTCCAAATGCTGAATCCGCAGGGTCTGGTTTTTAATTTTCAGAGCATCCTCTGTCCTTAATTTCTCCAGCTCCATGTTGAGCTGCTCCAGGGCCCTGCAGCGTTTGTGTGTGTCATCTGCTTTCTTTGTCAGCATAGAGATAAGATGATGCTGCTCTTCTAGGTGTGAAAGCAGCAGTGCCTTCTCCCTCCTCTCCTTAGACATATCACAGAGTTTCTCCAGGCCTTCTGTCAGATCTTCCATATCTTTGTCTGTCTCTGGATCACCTGTGGAGTTGGCCACCCCTGCCCCTCTCTCAACTTGAGCCATGGAGCCCCTGTCTCACACAAAGGCAAGAAAAAACGTTATAGTGGCTGCTTCTCTTAGTGACGCTCAGCATGATTAAACATTAGCCAGTGGCTGTGTGGCCAACACCAGTGTGATAAGCTGGTGGAGCTTCTCTGGAAGTCTGGAGAAGCTGATGTGGGTGGACAGGACCTCCCAAAAGCAATGTCAGCCTGAAACCATAGCTCTATAGCCCTCCCCACATCCTTTGGCTCAGAATCAGGCAGACTGAGAAGAAGGTTTATAGACTCCACGAGCAAAAGCAAGAATGTAGGCTTAGTATTTATGCAAGCCAATCCATTTGCTGATTTAGCTTTGCTAATTATTCCTTCTCAAAGTCCTGCTGTTATAGGCACAAAAACTACTATCATATTTAGGTTAAAAGCTTGTAAGGGATAAAGCTGTAAATAATTCCTTAAGCAATCCTTCTCCTCTGCCTTTATTTTCTCCTACAGACTCTGTATTATAACTGCAAATAAAGGGAGGGTTACATGAGACTTCTAAATGATTTATAAAATTTTAATAGTATATTTCTCATTAAAAATAACTGAATAGTCTTATCCCATGCTTAAAGATTTCTGAATAAAATAAGAGATCCGTACAATGCTAATTACTGAATGCTCTGGGATACAAAGACTTTGTGACTGGAGAAGCAGTTCCTCATTTGAGTTTTGACACTGATTTGCTGAATTATTTAAGGCATGTAATTTTAAAAGTCTAATTCTTCTAAATAAGGGAAATATTTGTATTACATAGGCACCCAAATGATTATTGGTGTCAAATCGCACAGCATGCTACCCAGACATTTGAAAAATTAGCCTAAAACTCATCTACAAGTTTTTCATGTAGATGCAGACCTGAAACTACAGAGCACGTGAAACAGCATGCTGATAATCAGGTTTTGTGAATTCCTGGGCTTTGACTGGAGGTAAAGATAGGATGTGAGAAGGCACCAGCTTAAAGCAAGGATGAAAAATGGATTAACACCTGTGAAGCAGGTAGAATTTTAGAGCTGTATAGTATTGACCATCAGTACAGACACCAGCTCTGTCTCCACCATCCTGCATTCTCCCACCGCTGTTGCTATCTTGGATCCTGCCAAAATATTTCAGAATAATGGAGAAGAGGGAGAAGGACTGAGAGGTTTAGGCCATCCAGTGGAAATACAATGAAGAGCAGGGTTCAAGAAAAGAAAACTATTTTCTTACCAGGTATTTTCTTTCCCCTGTCTGTTTGTTATCACTCCTGCTGTGAGGTTCTGTCTCCATGGAGGTGAGACACTGAATCCAGTCACCCCAGAGCTCATGACCTCATATGGGCTGGTTGGAGCTGGGCCAGCCCCACCAGCGTGGCTGAAAGAGCTGGCAGTGTTTCTTAGCAAACAAACATTGCTGACACTCTCGAAAACACACTGATTTGTAAAAGGAAAGAGAACTTCCACAAGCTTGGAGAACTCCTCAATCTCGGCTTTTAATCCTGTGAAACTGTAAGTCACATTCAAAGCAACATATGGTTTCACGTCTAAAATTAATTCATATAGGCAGTGAATACAAATAACTTAGGTGCCTCTTTTCTAGAATCACCACCCTTTCAGAAGTGTCTCTTTAAGGATATAGAATCAAACCAACTGCTGTTACCATTTCAGGACAAAGTCATTGTTCTGAAGTGTCATATGCACATGTTCCCTAGTCATATAAGAAGTGTATTTGTCTGACAAAGTGGAAGCTGTGGCAGCTACCAATCTCATAAAAAACACCTGAAGCAGTAAGATATCAAAGACCTGCAACTACTTTTGGCATTTGTGAACCCCACAGGCTGCCTGGTTCATGAAAGTGGGTTCCCCAACAGGTTGATTAGCACCTTCTCTTTTTCCCATTCCAAGTAGCATTAGGTTTCTAAAATTAAATCAAGCAATTAAGCTGTGAAGAGCTCCCTTCTCCCCTCTAACAGAAGATGCAAGATGTCACTGGCTTTTAGACATGCACAGTTGGAACAAATAAATGTGCATTTATTTTCAAAAATGTTTTCTGTCTGCATTTTGCTATATTGCATGCTGAATGGCTAATATAAACCACGGGGGTTTAATAAACATTGGATTCCTATTTAGTCTTAATAGGCTGCTTTTTATTTTAAAAAGTAATACATATAGTGCTTTATGCATTCATTATTTATTAGTAGCATGTATTTCTACAAGTTACAAATTCCAGTCTTATTTCCTATGCTGCAAAACTATTTCGAGCCAAGACCACCACAGACCCACCAGTCCCCTAATGGTGGCGCTGAAGCACAGGTAAATTACTTCTTGCTGAAAACCAAGCAGATAGATACAGGTACAAACTTTAAAGAATAAATACCCAACATACTTGTCATCACTAAAATTGGAACATTTAGATCCTTATGAGTAGCACTGGAATAAAAAAAAAAATCACCTTTATGTCTTCAGTATTTCGGAGTAACTATTGCAGACTAGCAAGATGATTAACACATATATATAAAGCAAACTTTTTATAACCCTGATTTTTTACAGTACATTGGAACTTAGTCCTCTGCACATTGTAGAATAGGACATCAACAGTACCACTTCATGTCATGCTTCTTTCACCGGAGAAGCAACTCAGATATCCTTGAAATGTACAACTACAAATTTACATAATGTTCTGTAGGCAAATGTTTAATTTGAAATATGAAGTGACATGACAGCACAAAACCAGAACGGCAACAAAGCAAAAACTGTCAAAACTGCTACTGTGTTCCTCTTCCAAGTTTCATCCCCCCACACCTTCAATTTCATTCCCAAGGTTTCTTTTGACACTAGTAATTAAAAAACCACCTTATTTTGTCAATTTTGCAACTATAAGCATCCTGAGAGGTAGTGTATCTTCTATCCAGGTGTTTGGAGAGTTCATCATCTTCTCCCAAAGGGCAGTTTCATCTGAAGTAGAATCCATCCAATCTACTGTAGTTCCATAGCTTTTGCCTAGAAAAATGTCAGTTTTAAGAGAAACATTACTAAATATGTTGCAGAGTTGAGAGGAGACAATCAAATTTGCCTGCTCTAAAATGATTACACCTGCTCAGGTAGCTGACCTAGTGCTTTGGACATCCAGTTCTCCATTTTTGCTCTTGAGCAATTCTTTCAAATACAATTAATGACAGTTTTGCGCAGAGACTTTGTCGTCTCTCTCCAGACTTTTTCCTTGTCATCCTTTGTCACAATCCCAAGCAGAAAGATGTTAATTTCCCATACATCTGAGAAGATTTAATAATAAAACAGAATACTGATTTTTGTACTGAAATGCAACCTTGGATATTCTAAAATTCAAATTGAGGTTTACTATTCTAATTTGTAATTTAGGTTATTCTGGTGAACCATGTAAGAAGTTAAATTACAAAAAGTAATTTTTACATTGTATTTCTTGAGAAGACTCCAAAATGATCTTCCCTTCAGACCAGAGAGCAGAATGAAAGGGACAAATGGAAGAACTGTTTTTCCTGTTATTATACCTGCATGTCTTATATTGCCCTTATGCTAAAAATTTATTTGCATTTATAATTTTTCTATTCAATATCTTCAAATCTTATCATGCATTCCTCATCTATCCTTTTATTTCCACCCCATGATGTCTTTACACCACACACCTTGTTTTTGCATGCATAAGTTTGTAAGATGTTATCACAATTTTGGGTGCAGGAGTAGCATATTCTTGTAATCGGAACAGTACTAGATACAGTGTATGCCCAGAAAAAGTTCTATTACTAATATTTCTCCTTAGCTGTCAGTCGTGCTAACCCTCCTAACACTATTATTTACATTTCAGGATCTGCGCTGAAGAATAGGTAAGTTATTGAATGGAACTCTTCAGTAAATAGTAAATAGTTATTCAGTGATCTTCTCAAAACAGGAAGAAATGGAAAGGAAATAAGAAAAAAAAACCCAACAAAACAGGAAAGACTATTTCATAAATTAAGTATTAATGTGGTAATTGTCCAGTACCTGTTCCAAGGCCTATCCGGAGGCCTCCCAGAAAGTGGTTTGCTAGTTTGTTGTGGTCCCAGACTGTGAGTTCTACGCAGGCTTCTTTCAAATCTTCTGGTCTAAAGCCATCATACACCATGGTGTGGTTGAATACTGGGTTTGCAGTTTTTGCAACTGTCCGTGTTTTCTGGCGACTTTTTCTGCTAGTGTCTGGAAGAATGGTACTTCAGAAAGAAAAAACACAGTTAGTTTGCACTTATACACCATAGCCTGCATAAGCATACTGAAAAGGCAAAAGCTACTGATTAACATTATGCCTGGCATGTTAGTACATGACTGAAAAAGATCAGATGCTTTTTGGAGATGAAGACAAGGGTCATATTCTCAGTTCCTTGCAAGCAATACTGGCACTGTTTATCCACCCTTGTGCTTCAGAGGATGGAAGGGCAAGTCAAGGATGGGGAAGAGGTACAAGTGAGTTTATTTGTTGTATTATACCGACACCAAAACCTTTTGTTGCTGCCAGGTATTTCCCCAGCCATCTTGTTATTCTCGTCTCTTTACATTTTCAGTCTGTATATGAAAAGGAAGGGGGAAGAAATACAGCTATGCTTCTCATTTCTGTCTCCTCCCCCGGTTTGCTAAGCTAGACCATAGTCTTGCACAAGCACGCTTTGTTTAAATGTGAACAAAAGCAGGCAGAGTTTGACCTGTCCTTCCACCAAGTAACAGAGACAAAACTAAAGTGTAGTGATTACACAGGAAGTTCTTTCAGTAACTTTTACTTGGTGGTATGTACTTACCGTCTTGAAGTTGCAAGCCCTGCAGGAGAATTTGCATGACAATAAAGGAGAATCAGAAAACAATTCTGTGGAGATTTTTTAATATGAATGTAAAAAAATAAAGATACAATTAGAAAACGCAACTGTAGCATTATTAGGCCATCATGTTTGATCATTTCAACAATTCTTACCACTTGATAAAAGAATTGAGCCTGTTGCCTCTCAGAAGAGGAAGGTTATGGCATTCCTTCACCCAGATGTGGACCTCGCCAGTAGATAGAGTCTTCTTTCCTGTAAAAATAAAACAAGACATCTGTTTAAGCAGATCACTTTTGAAGGTAGTTTCTATGATGTAGCAGTTCCTGCCCATTTGTAGAGGTGATATTCAGCCTAGACTTATCTCACATCTTAATTCAACATTGCTCTCTGTACTCTGGAAGCTGAAATCTTCGTCCCATCAAAGTAGTGCAAGATCACATCATGTCTGCATTCCTACGATAACTTTTCTTTTATTACAACAGCAAACACAAAGTACTGGTCTTCTCTTTCCAAGACTCCTAGATAAAGAGATCAGCTTGTCTTCATGCTATGTGATGTTAGCATTTATTGCTGCTCATGCTTTCAAAAAAGCTCCTTTGTGCTCTAAATATATTTGATTCTTATTGACTGACTGACTGTCTGGATTAAAGACCTGGCCTGGCTTCACTCTCAGATCTGTCCATTGTCAGATGTCAGACACGATTAAACCAAACAGATCATACTGCTATCAATTGTTGCATTCTAAATACTTACTGCTTATTTCCTACATCTAGTATTGCTTCAATTCAGCATGTTGTCATTGTTTATTTAGCACATCACAACCCTTCCTGATGATTTGTAATCTCTAAGATTATTGAGAAAACAGAATTTTATTACACATATATTGCACTACAAATCTTAGGTTATAACGAGCTAATTTATTCCATAGTAACATTAAAACCAGCAAAAGATCCCAAAGTGATCTTTGCAATCCTTAACTAAATTCTCAACCAGGGTTACTTAATCCTCTAGGAATAAAAAAGAAAATTACTCTCATGTTAAAAAAAAAAAAAAAAAGAGTCTAAAGTGACTGAAAAACATTAAACAGATTTTTTTAACTAAAAAAAAACCCAAAACCCTCAAAGGCCTGACAAACCCAAGCCAAACGGCAATGCTTACCTCCAAAGGGATGTGGGACATACTGGAGGGCTAGTTTCATCTCCCCTCTGTTTTCTAGATTAGGAGCCATTGTTGAAGTCTGAGATAAAAAATAAAAATAAATAAATAAATAAATAAACCCTCTGTATACCTACAAGTCTCAAACTTTGCAGTTCATGCAGAGTTTACCATGCAAATTTTTCCACTGGAACAAGCTTGACTTCAAATGAGGCAAGTTTTTTCTCTTGTTTCCTTATCAATTAGTCTTCTCTCACTTTACAGGACATGAGAGAATTTAGGGCACTTTCAATCACTTGACAGTGTGATTACATAGACACATAGCTCTTCTACTAAAGCAGAAAACTAGACTCAGAAGAGGCAAACAGGCTTTGAGGGCACGTTTTCCCACTGTTGTATGCTTATTTAAAACTAGAAAATATATTCTTTCAATCAGGAAACTTAGTCTTTGTGCACCAGAAAGTGCATTTCTCTAAACTCATTTCTGTAGGAACGTTTGTCTCATTTAATCCATTTAAAAATCAGCCTCAACAAGAGTTATCTTGCAGAAAGGCACAAGAATATGTCACTTCATAGACAGTCATGGACTATCTATAGATGGAACATGGCATCTGTTAACATTTGGTTACATTTACCTACTCAGAGCAGCTTAAAAATTAGTCAAATTAAATTAGTGCAAAAAGAATACCATGTTATCCCTGTTTTGTTCTGCAAATTACAAAACTTGAGCTTAAGCTAATTTTGGAATGAATTTAAGAAGTAAATTCAGGGGCGAAAAAAAAAGAAAATATAAAACCAACAATAGAAACCAAAACTTCTGGCAGTGGCTTAGCCAAAAGTTTAGATTTTGGCTGAAACCCATTACCAAACAAGAGGCATACAGAGATGCAATCATCATTACATCTGATATTAAAATGGGCTGCACTTGCTCCATATTCTCAGAAGGTTTACTTCATATTCAGTGAACAAGTGCCTTCAGGTTTCTGTTGCAGCAACATGACATTAATGAGAAATACCTTGAAATTCCTACTCCTTAGACTATGAGAAAGTTTTTCCTGCTCTAGTAGTTAGCTAGACTAAAAGAAACCTCAAAACTGTGTGTGCCATTTATTAGTATATATGTATTTATGATTATAATTAACACAAACCCCACAGACCACATAAGACCAAGCTAAATAGTGACTTGGGTTTGTGCTTACACAGCAGAAAATACAAAACAGCCAACCTACCCTTGGCTTGAGGGGAAACCAGTTGATCTGCTTGTTGGATGGATCATTCCAGTCCCAAGTTCCTAAATCCAACTCCACTTCACCAAGGAAGCTATTCCTCCCAAAGGTATCATTGTGCCAGACAGAGATATTAAGGCTTTGGTCCCTTAGGAGATCCTTCTCAATTTTATACTGCCCGGAGGAAGAAACGAGGACAAAAAATTAAAACAAGATGAATTTTTAATCAGTGTTGTGTCTGAAAGTGACAAGGTTAAAAAAAATGTGTCTGATTTTATACATCCATAACTGGTCATTTCTTTATTTCAGAAAACAAACAATAAACCCCAGCTCTTTCCTTTTCATTTCAAGCATCTTAAGACTATACTTGGCTTGTATTTGTTTGCAAGAAGTATAAAACAGACAGTGTTCTCAGTGATCTATCCAGAGTTCACTGTAGAGTTAACTCATCAATGGAAGGACAGTCATCTCTACAGAGCAATCCCACTCATGCTAACATCTCTTTTGAGTGCATCTAGACCTGTTCCTAAAAGTTAAAGTTCCTCATACATCACACATGCAGTATTTAATTTCTAGTAGTAGTTTGATAAATACCCGCAGTATTTCATTATAGACTGGATTAAAAGTTTTCTTTTTGACAGAAGTCTTCCGTTTGCCCAGCTTGTATTTCTCTGGAAGCAGGTAGGTCTTTACATACCTAAAATTTAGACAGGTTTGTTAGAAGAGAAAAAACTCACCCTCTCCAACATCCTCTTCCAAAATACAAAAGTATTTGCTAAAAGTGAAAGAAATCCACTTCAGTAGCCATTATGTTGTTCAGCTCGTACATTTAAGAAATAAGACAGCAGTGGTGATGTATAAAATCACCACTTCCTTATAATATCCTTCTCCAAGGGAAAATCTTTTGAAATGTCTCCTCCACACAAAAATACAGAATATATAACTATAGCAGGCCGAGATATGATATTTATAGGCTCTAATCCAACCATCCGAAAAGTAGAATTTTAAAAGATAATTTAATATTCTTAAAATTTTTAATTTCCCATATTAATATATATGCAATTTTATAATGGTGATTCTATATTCAATCAGAATGAAAAAAAAAAAAAACACAAAGCACATAAAGCTTCTTCATCTGTGTATTGGGTTGTTTACTCTAACAGGTAAGAGAAATTGGAAAACCCCATCAGGTTTCATTTTCACATTAAAAGAAAAACTTCCATTAGAAAGTAAATATATTCTTTGTACTTACGGGTCTGAGCGCTGTCGTTTAACGTCTGCTACTGCCAAGTCTTTACACTGGCAAATAAAAACATGGAGCTCGTTCAGCTGTTCCACATAATCAATAGCAAACTGAATGTTCCCCTTCACATCAACATTGCCAAAGTCTGCACTGTAGATGCTCATTAGACTTCCGCTCACCTGCATCATAAAAGAGGAGAAAAGTTTTCCAGACATTGCATTTCACCAGATACTTCAAGAGTAAGGTAGAAGTTATGCTCAGAATTCGGACAGTAAAGAAATCAACTGTGTCACTTTGGATGTAACAACAAGATGTAATGGACACTATTTTACAAACTCTTCAGCCAGAAGATTAACAAAACAGAGATATTTTGAAATCAAAGGTGTTAGGCCAAGTTTTCTACAAAAAATTTGAATATGTTTACTGGATTGAGATAGAAGAAATTAAATTATAGGATACTGTGTATCTAGAGATTGCCTGTTATCAGATCCGTGAAATATTGCTTCTAAATCTCTTCAGCTGATCTTTCTTGCAGAAAGCAGAGCTTAAGAATTTAGGACTTCTGAAAATACCAACAACAGGACTAGTGGATGAAGTCTATATGGCTGAATTATGCACCTAAATACATAGCTAAATAAAACACTGAATATTAAGCACTACATATGGAGAAAGAGAAATATGTAGGGGGTTTTTTTAATGTCAGCATCATTCCCAAAAATTCTACTTTTCCGTATTGAAAGTCCACGTAAGCCAATGACTGTTGGTTAGCTAATTCACTGATTCAATTACAGACCCAACATTCCAATAACGTCTTCTGCTTTCACTTATTTCTCCCCTCTTTCTCTTTTCCTAAATGTTTGTTCTACATAAATTGTTCCCCATTTTCAGCTACAAATGTAAGCTCTTAGGCTAAAATCCATCTCTTTGTTCAGAGTCCTGAACAGGCTCCAATAGGTTACTAGAAAAATAAAACTAAATCTATTTTCTTTTATTTTATTTGCTTCAGGCAATTTCATGCAAGGAATTACTTTATATTCATATAACAGAGACGGAAAGAAAGAGACAGAGATGCAAAGGAAAGAAAGACAAGAGGAATGAGAGATGAAATAATATTTAAGAGATTAGCAAAAGCAAAGTGCCATTAAAACAAGGCTTTGGTTTACATACAGAGGATAAGGAGGCCATGCCAGAAGAGCCGCTAAGATTGGTTAGAGAGCTGGGACTCTTCTTGATTCTGCCAAAGGAATAACTGCTTTCTGATGCTGTATCTGTCTCTCTGTCATCACTCTACAAAAACATCACAGAAAGAAAGTCTGTATACTTTCTTTATAGTCACAAAGAATATTGAAAAAAAACCAAAACCAAACAAGTAGAATTTTAATGCAGATTGAGACTCAGTGGAAACCTAAATTTAAATTCCCTTGTAGCGCAACATGAATAATATTTCTTGAATTAGGTCATGCATTTAAAGTTGAAAGCGGATTTTTCTGATGAACAACATACACTGATAAGATTTTTAAGCAGCAATGCAACTAGGTTTAAGGTTTTTTGTTTGTTTTAAATCTCAAATAGCAATGAAAAAGTACAAAGGTAAGTGTATTGGACAATTATATTCAACTTCTCTACATAATTTTCTCATGCATAAAATTGTGGAAGTGATAGTGCTCAGGTCTCTTACCAGTCCCTTTCTGCTACATAGCAAATGCTATCAGTTCAGTGCCTGTATCTGAGGGCAGCTGGCTGGAAGGCAACATGCACAGAACAGCACTGGATACAGCAATGGGTTTTGCAAAGTCTTTCTTACAAGAGGGCAAGCTGGACCCTGCTTTTCCATCAGGGAATTGCAGTTTTGGTTTCCTTGGTCATTATCAGGTTACATGCTTACAGTCCCATTCCATCTCAATGCTATCTCTGCACTAAAACATTGATTTACTTCCCACATGTCCCTTGGCATCTTCCTACACAAGCTGTTATGGACAACAGCATCTCCTTATTGTATTCCACCCACAAACAATTTACATTCCCCTCTCCGTTAAACACTTTTTGAAATGATGTCATAGATCTTCTGGTAAGAGATGCAAGATTAATAAACAACAATTTCTACATACATTAAGAAATGATTATTTATATAAATAAATATATAGCATATAAGCAGTTTGAATAAGTCTTCAAAAAATCTGTTGACTGTAGCTTCTCTGGTTATGTCTATACTCGTAAGTAAAAGCAGGCCAGGATCATTCCCCAGTTCGGAGGCCAATGGTAAGGACTGACTAATGTCCACCCTACCTAGCACAAGGCTTCCTGACAGAAAATTGATTTGGAGAGTGCCATTTGGGACTGTACAAAATAAATCCAGGAAGTGAAATAACTGTTAAGCAGTGTGGATAATCAGTCCTGTTAAATGGACTGTTCGAAAGACAGGAAAATCTTAAGTCCTCATGTAGGGGAAGGATATACAGTGATTAGACACTTTAAACTAAGTGACTGTAATGGCTTTAAACTGAATGGCTTTAAACTAACTGACAGAAGGTAGGTTTAGATTAGATATTAGGAAGAAATTCTTTACTGTGAGGCTAGTGAGGTACTGGCACAGGTTGCCCAGAGAAGCTGTGCATGTCCCATCTCTGGGAGGGTTCAAGGCCAGGCTGGATGGGGCTTTGAGTAATCTGGTCTAGGGGAAGGTGTCCTTGCCCATGACAGGGAGTTAGATGATCTTTAAGGTCCCTCCAAACCAGACTGTTCTGTCATTCTGTGATACAGAATCGTAGACATCATAGACCCGTTGCTTCAAGTTGCTAATCGCTTTCAAACTTCAGTGTCATTTTAAGAGATTTGAATACGGCCTCAAGCTTGTTCCAAGGTCCACACCATGATGATGATAACAATAATCAAGCATGGCATGTTGTTGGGAATTCTGAAATTTCACTTACATGGAGTAAACAGATGGGTACCTGAAACTATACTGTTTCAGAGATGGAGCTTACCTCTTCCTGTAGGAATGATGGTACCGACTTGCTAAGTCCTTTAAGCTTTTCAGGGTTGGAAAATAGCTTATCAGGCTGTGAAGGCACTGTGGAAACTGAAGAGTAGTAATTCAAAAGGCTTCAGAACCATGTTTGTACTTCAGAACAGTGAGATGCCATAACAGGACACGGTTAGAAACAAACCACTTCAGATGAAATACATGCACATGCACAACCAATTTACAACCTGGATGCAAGGTTTTTTTTTTTCCCCGTAGGACTCAGAAGAGCTATCATTAGGAAAAATAATCCAGTTTGACATCTCCTATAACACTTGCTAAAGAACTTTGTCAGTATCAGAAATGTTGCTTTACATGATATACAAGCCTAGGTGCTACAAGCAAATTTTGATCAAAAGTAATGAAGCACTTTCAGTTTATCTTCTAGATTTTCTTCCTAGAACAAGTGCATTCATGCACTAACCATATCATTATCAATATTAGAGTCAAGATAAGGTTCTTAGTAAGAAATTAGAATACAAGACAAACCATGTTCTTTTATTTACTTAGTCAATTTAATAGCAATGGGAATATTTGTATAAATCAAGCAAATTTTAGGTCTGACCAAGGAAGTCTCAAGTATTCCTACTTATTTAATGTAATTATAAGATGCATATCTCATGAATGATGCACTTTTTTGCAGCCCATCTCTACCACATTTGTATATCTCTATTGAAGTTCACTTCTGTGCTCTTTCACTGTACAAAGCATAACTGCACAAGGTAGCCTTGCAAAATCCAATTTGCAGCAAGCCCACGATTCTCAGAATTTTCCATGCTATAACCTCACTTACATGTAATGATACACTAAAGCTGGACTGGATGCACATTGTGAAATGCACCAATACTGACTATGATAGGACAGAGAATTATTTGGTAACAAACAGCCAGCTACCGGGGCACATATCCAGTGCATAAAATGAAACACTGCACATGACGGGATTGTTCACAATCCCATGTGAGTGAAGCTTTTGCAAAGCTTTTGCTGTCGAAGCTCGGCTCGTGCTCAACATACCAGTTACCATCAGTATGCAGTTAGATGCATGTCCAGATGTGTAATTTGTTAGTTGTTAAATCAAAAAGTATTTTTAATGTATTAGTTTAAGCATCAGTGGAGAAGCCCTTCCACTGTCTGATGAAAGAATCCTATTACTCACTTCCTGTTGCATTTTCAGTCCTCTCTGGATGCTGATCAGGTTTCGGACCTGCTCAGTGCAGTATTGACAACAGTCATTCAGTAGCACAGTTTTGCAATGTTATAAACAGCATCAATATACTTTATATGTAGAAATTGTTTTACTTCCCTGGACCCCATAAACTTTGTGGGGTTTTTATTCCTTCCAGTAGTTTAGTAGTGGTAGGTCTTTAGGAGTATTAAGTGTTTCATTTTGATGCATCATGGAGCAAGTTGTAAGAGTAAATGCAGAACTAGGGACTTAGGGGTGAATTTGGCAGTGCTATATTAGCAGTTGGACTTTATGATCTTTCATGTAATGTGTTTTTTCCAACCTAAACAGTTCTATGATTCTATGTTTCACATCTCTGTTCTCCTTGGAGGAGCTGGATCATAAAGGTAATATGAGTGTGCAAGCTAAACAAAATCAATCTTTTCACTGTTCTAAATGAACAGTCTCTTCAAAAGATTCTGTCTGCACAGCTATCAATTTAACTGTGTTGGGGGTTTTTTTCATAACTTCACTCTTAATAAATTTAAGTCAAAAACTCTACTTTTTTCAGATAAGTCTACACATTCACACTGAATGCAAAACAGGATTTCAGTATCTTCATTGTAAGCAGAGTACAGTATGGTGCTTAAGTCTCTATATAAAGTATATAGAAAAACTCAACAGTAAGGTATCTGTAACATGCTAATGGACTGATGGTATCAGCGCTAGCTGATCTAGCAGTTCATCTATTTCTTTGAATAATTCTACTTTGCAGGACTGAGATGGATTTTAAGAGAGGTTCCTCTTTGATTGATGTATTCTGAAAATGTTTTGCACTAACAAAAGTCATCTTGCATCTTATAATGCAACAGATAAACAGACAAATTCAATGTTAACTGAGTTAGTGTTCAAAGCTCCCTATGATTTCAGTAATTGTTCCATAGGCTGAATGGGTGAAAGCCAAAATAATACATTGATAAGTGACCCAGCTTCTACATATATAGGAGGACATAAATACATTCCTTAAGGAAGAATTCTACAGAAGATTTTCAGCCATGTTGAGGTTAATAAAATCAAAAACACAATACAGTTCTTAGTTAAAAAAAAAAAAAACCTTCACTATCAAACAGAGGGCACAGAAAAATCAATAAATATCCATGCAGACACAAAAGATATTTACCATCTTCAGCACTAAGAGCTAATTCTTCCTTTGGATTATTTATTTTTCCTTTATCTGTGCAGGAAAAAATAACACATAGTTAGAAACTTCATTGTTGAGTGTAAAATGGGTGGCAGTGGTAATCACAGAATTAAGTGTAATGAGGACAAAATCCACAAACAAACCAGCAAAGCCATGGGAATGGTTAAATTCAAGAGATGCTTTTACTTCACACACTACATCCAAAGCAGGGCTCTCGTGTTGACAGTTTCTATCAGCGTGCTGTTGCAACAATGTTAGTGCAGACCTAAAACCTAGAAACTAGTTAGAAGCAAGCAATAGCATAAGTAGTATTAGAATAAAAACTTGCCAACAATAGCCAACATCTTTCAAAAACCACATTTCCACACTCCAGTTTACTAATGTAAGTTCAGTCTATGTCTTCCCCATTAGACATGAGATAAGCATGAAAACTCTCAGGGGCAGGGTGAAGGAAAGCAGGAATAATAATTGAAAAAAAGAAATCCTAGGAGGCTACTGAGGGAAGTCAGGAATTTATTTTAAGTATAATATTAATCTCACACTTATTATCTCAAAGTACCAAAGAGTTTGGCAGGACACACAGGTGAAATATTACTAAATTGAGTTTTTCATGCTTTCATTGTCTACTAATTCAGCCCAAGCAAGAAGCCAGGAGGCAATGGCAGTTGTTGCTCATTACCAATTTGGGTAATTGCCAATACATCCACTACCGAAAAACTATCCAAGAAACAGTTAATCACTATCGACATAGTGCATTCCTGGAAGATGTCTGCTTCACAGACCAGTGTTGTTTCAAAATTAACATAAATAACTGGAAATGAAATTGTATGAGAAGATAATATGGCTTCACATTACAAGCTCCATACAGTTGAGAAACAAAAACAAAGCCATGACTTGGCAAGGCTGTGCAGAAAACCAGCATTAACACATTTAAGCTAAACTGGGGTCATGGGAGACATACACAAGCTTTGTGCTCACTTGAGGTGGCTGATGGAATGTCCTCTAGACTTTTGGAAGGCTTTTTCCTATCTGCACTCCTTTTCAAAGCCATCAAAACAGGGTTTAATTCTTCTTCAGAACCTGTTATGAGACAAAACATATGAACACTGCACACACAGACATGCCACTTGAAGCAAGTCAATGAAGATCCAGCCATCGGTTTCTCATGAGAATCTACTTAGACTCTTAGCAAAGACAATGAACATTCAAAGAAAATACAAAATAAATTCAAAATGAAACAAATATCTGATTGGAAGTGTCCATTTTTACTCTCTAAATATCCTTAGTCATCAGCAGAGACCAGTTGCTTGATTTGTCCTGTGTAGGTACCTGTCTTTACTGACTATTAATGGGGTTTGGGGTAATTATGGCACTTAATTATTTAAGAATTATATAAGATAAACTCAGATTGTAGCCATTTTGTAACCATCTTGTTAGGAATAGGCACCCCAAAAAAAGTTAATAGTTTTAGTTTTCTCCCCTCAATGCAAATTTTTGTGTTATATTGTCTCCACAGTGAAAGTAATTTTGTTTCAGTACTTGACTAACAACACACACACACAAAAACCTCAGCTGTGGATATATTTGGATCTCTGAAATTATGCAATTGTCTCCAAGGTAGAATCAAGATAGACCTAGGTCCTTCAGAAACATTTAAGACTCTCCTCCCTATCTTACTTTCCTCCCTTTTCACCAACCAACCACACCTTGCAGTGTTCTGTCTGTAATTACAGGTGACAACAAATTATGTTTGATTTTTTCTCATTTGTTTCAGTTTTCACTGACTTCCTTTGGAATCTCACTTTCAAAACAGGCTCAAGTGTAAGCTGGCTGGCCCTGGGAATGTCACATATTTCTCAGATTCTCCATCTGAAGAAAAGATTCCCAATCTCTCAGTATGAGACTAAAAAGGTTAAATTATCTCCTCTATCTTCAGTTCTTTGATGACTATCACACACTATAGATTGACTAGAGCTGCCATTCAACCAAATAATGTGAATCCTGGTAAACACATCTCTTCATTTATATATTCACTTTCCAGTGCACCAGGCAGCATTGCTAAATGAAATAGCACCGAGTATCGGTATTGTTCTTGTATCCAGCCATTCCACTGATGAGCATCTATCTTTGAAGACTAGCTGGTCAAACTAAAGAATGTACTCAGACAGTCACTGATTTTTTTTTCTCTTTTAATCCAGTATATTTAAAGGAATTACTAGATTGGTGTTACAAATTAACAAATTTAAAGATGATATCATGGGGGAGGAAGAAAAGAGTAAATCATGAATACTGAATTGATTCATGCTGCTAAACTCCCCTTACCAAAAAGGCTTACCCAAATGTAGTACGTGTCTATCATATACTTTCCAATTACAGAACTTAATTAGTTCTTCCCATCCTTCCCAAACAAATACCCACAGCATTCAACTAAGAAATAAGTATCACACAGACTTTCTGTTAACGTATTTCAAGTTGGCTATCAAAAAAATATTGCATCCATGTTTAACAACTCAGCACCATGAATTTTAGAAATCAAACAGCTCACGAGTTGAACTTCCGGTTCCAGAGTGGGAATCACAGTTTTCATCCGAAAATTTGGTTCTCAAATTTAAAATGTCCTCTTCCTCTTCATCATCATCCTCATGCTGAGACGTTAGGCAGAGCAGAGCTTCTTTTGGCTGGGGTGAGCTGCCGTCATCTTTAAGAGGTGTGCTTGCTCTTCTGAAATTCAACAGTGCCTGAAATTCTGAATTCCATTCAGAGGCCTCCAAGGATGTGCTTTCATCTCTCCTCCCTTTTTTGTTTATCTGAAATGGCTTGATTGCAGTCGTATTTGTTTTGTCTTCCAAGGGAGTAAGATCAACTGGAACCATGTTTCTCTCTTCTATTTTATTAATAACTTCATTTATTTTAAGATCAGAAGGTTCAATTTCACTTATTGCAAGATCATTTACTGAAGCTTTGACATTTTGTTCTAGAGGTTCTCCTTTGATAGCTAAATTTATTTGTGTATGATAGCTACTTAAAACATTGTATGGCTGTGATACAGTTGTGAATAGAGTCTCTTTTTCTGAGGGAAATGCAGGATCCCCAAACTTTTCTTGCCTATGTAACTCCTTGGATATTGGATATGAAACTGTAGATGGTTTTTGAACAGGTTTTGCTAAAGAATAACTGAATTCACTAAATTTTTCAATATGTGAAACAGAACTTTTTTCTACTGTTTCTTCTATTTCTTGAGGACAATCTCTCTCTTGTTGATGTGAACCATGCATACTTCGACTAGTCCGTATTTTACCTTGCATTTTCTTATCCGTGTTTTCTAGCACAGAAGCTGGTGTTTCAGAGACCTCTTTTGGTAGCTTCTGAAAATTTACATCAGACACTCTATATTCAACCTTGGACAGTGCAGATCCTTCTGTGGTCTCACCCCTTTCCTGCAGCACCTCTCCATCACATTTATACATTGTGCCTTTAGCTCCCATATCAGCAGTTCTCCATACTAGGCTGTCAGCACGTTTTGGTTTAGGAGGTGGTGTTTCAGAGGCCTCCTTCAGCAGCTTCTCTAAAGCAGGATTCAAGCCACTGTCCTTAGATGGAGCAACAGACTTTTCTACCCTCTCACTGATTTCCTGCAGCACCTCTCCATCATGATCATAGGTTGTGCTCTTAGCTCCCACCTCAGCAGTTCTCCATACTAGGCTGTCAGAATGTTTTGGTTTAGGAGGTGGTGTTTCAGAGGCCTCCTTCAGCAGCTTCTCTAAAGCAAGATTCAAGCCACTGTCCTTGGATGGGGCAACAGACTTTTCTACCCTCTCACTGATTTCCTGCAGCATCTCTCCATCATTCTCATAAGTCCTACCTTTAACTTCCACCTCAGCAGCTCTCTTTACAGTGCTGTCAGCACGTTTTGGTTTAGGTGGTGGTGTTTCAGAGGCCTCCTTCAGCAGCTTCTCTAAAGCAAGATTCAAGCCACTGTCCTTAGATGGGGCAACAGACTTTTCTATGGTCTCACTGATTTCCTGCGGCATCTCTCTATCATGTTCATATATTGTGCTTTTCACTTCCACCTCAGCTGTCCTCCACACTGTGCTGTCAGGGTATTTTGGTTTAGGAAGTGATGTTTCAGCAGCTTCCTTCAGCAGCTTCTGTAAGACAGAACTCAAGCCACTGACCTTGGATGGGGCAATAGACTTCTCTATTGTCTCATGGACCTCTTCAGGCTGACCAGCAGCTCCTTGGTATGTTGATTCTATGCTGCTATTAGTTTCTGATATGCTATTCATGTCATTGTATGCTTTCACTCCCACCCTTCTATATTCAGAAGGTTGAGATACAAAGGTTTCTCTGAGCAGGTTCCGCAAACCAGAAGCCTCAAGAGTATCATCCTTGTCTGCTGCCTGATGCTGTAGATGCAAAGGTTCAAATTCCCTAAACAGTTTTCTGAGGCTTTTTTTGTTCTCACGCTCATCTATTGATGGCATATTCACTTTTCCTGTATTTTTACCCATTTCTTCTTTTTGATCAGCAGGAGAAATATCATGGCTCTCTTCTACTGTTCTCTCAATGACCTTGCACTGATTTGAGTGAAAAGTTGTCCCTTTCAAAACATTTTCCTTTATGTTTAAGCTATATGACATCTCAGAGGCTTCCTTTTCTAACTTCTTTAAAACTGATTTAAATACGTCAAGCTCACCTTTAGGTAGAACAACTTTCTCCACAGTCTCTGCAACTTCCTCCTTAGGGAGACTGATATCCAATGGACTAGCCTTGTTCTCCACTTTTTCTGTAGGTAAACGTTGCCTATCACCTACTGTTGTCTCCTTCAAAGCATTTTTATCACTGGGTGATTGGAGCAACTGCAAGGAAACATGATGATATTTTGATGAAACACTACTTTCCCCCATACATTCTTTAACTTCTTGCTCCGGAAGAGTCGTCTTTTCCTGGGATTTTGAGATAACTGGTTTTCTGTTCAGCTGGACAGAGTCTGTATTTTGTGTGTGGGTCACATTCAGATGTTCCATGGTAGGAGATTCTAGAGACCTTTTGCATACCGGAGAATCTTGTTTCTGTGTTTTTTCTCTCTCAAGTGTTTGGGTTTGTTGTTGAATTAACTCTTGCCTGCTCACATTATCTCTACCTTTTTTATCTTCCTTTGATTTGCTTTCATAGATTATTGAACTATTATTATTTGGCAAAGAAACATCTTCCCTGTCAATTCTACTCTGGAATTTAACTCCAGTATCCCAGAAGTTTCTCAAACTCTGAAACCGTGAAGGATCTGAAATTTGATTCTTGGACTTTTCATCCATTTTTCCTTTTAAAGAAGAAACTTGAAAGCTGGGCTTCTGTTGTGAACAAGCAGCAACTTTTCCTTTAAGTGTTTCTTTCTCATCTTTGTCTTTGCTTTTTGTGGAGGCTGAAGTGACACCAACTCTGGACTGCAAATTTCTGGCTTTTGGCAGTTCTGCACATTCGTGAACTTCATCAGACGTAAGTGTTCCTTCTGGCTTTTTAACTGCATGGCCTGGTCCAAACTTGAAAGAGTGTTGATGTTCATTTCTGGAATCCTGTCTCACAGAACTAAATTGAGGACTTAAAGTATTCTTGCTCTGACTGTGCAACCCATTAGGTGGGTATACTGCAGTCGGTTCTGTTTTGTCACTTTCTCCAAGACCTTTCAATGCACGGCCACGTGATGCAGTAGTATTGGTATTAACTTCTTTCTCTCCATGACTGGGTATAATTTTGTCCCTTTCCCAGAATGCTCTGATCTCCCTTATTCTTCTTTTTTCTTGTATTGCCTTCTCTGATTCATACTTCTGAGGTTGTAGCCTGTGTTCTTGATGTCCCAAGAGATTTGACTTTTGATTTTGTTGTTTGAATTCTTGACCACGTTCTTTTTCTTCGACTCCTGTACAATCAAATTCAGTTAGCAGTTTGTCATTTTGCTCTTCATTCATTTTCCCTTTCTTAGGCTTCACCCTCTCATCTTCTGAAGCAAATGATCTAGATGAAACACTGCTGTGTTGTTTAATCTTTCCGAGTGGGAACTCTTCTGTAACTCCTGTCCTTCCATGCATTCTAGGCCCACTGTGCTCTGTAGGAAGAACTGCTGCTCTGGTTGAAAAGTCCATTTCCTCTTTGGGCTCCCTGCCTTGGGATCTAATTGATGCATGTTCCCCATCTTCAGTGTCAGAACTTCTTTTAAACCAATCTAAAACTTTTGATACAGATTCATCATCCACTTTCACGAGTTCATCAGCATGTTTGTCAGGCTTGAAAGTAGTTTTAGCATCTTTCTCCTCAACAAGATCAGGCTTACCTTGTTGAAGACTTGTAGAATTGCTATTTGACACCTCACGTGCTTCTGTCTTAGCAAAAAGTTGATGTTCATCTACAATATAAACAAACTTATCAGAGTTATGAATCTAAAAACATTTGATCTATTTAGAAAATTCTCAGAACTTATTTTTTAACTGTTAATGAAGACAAGATTTCTCTGCCCTTGTGTTTTTGAAAACAACCATACTATGGACAATAGAGGGGAAAAAAACTCCTGCAGTGATATATCCTACTGGAATCATTGTTTTTGAGGGTGTGAGCAGATAAAATGACTTAATCCCATTCTAGAGGAAATGCCTACATTGAACTGGTGCTGGGCATCACACACACAACTCAGCATATTTGTGTTTAGTCCTATGAGCAAATCCCCAAATCACAACAGGGTTACTCCCAAGGACAACTGACAGCAATACACTAAAATTTTCAGTTCCTGTGCAGACAGATCTACCAAGCCTTATAAGAGGAATTTCATCCAAACGTCATCACTTCATCATTCACAATAAAGGTGCCTATAAAGGCTCTGATGACATTACCAATAGAAGAACCTCTAAAACAATATTGACTATGTTGCAGCATAAAAATACAAAAAAGTGATCTAGGATTTAATTCTGCGGTACGTAGCACATTCCTGCTACTTCTGTTTCCGAGCTGTTAATTGTTAGGTATAAGTGACCCAAAGGGTAATGAACACATGCTATATTGCTATTACATTCCATTCTTCACTAGCATTAGTCTCTTACCAGTAAAGTTTTTGTGTGACTTCGATTCATGGCTCAAGATCTGGTTGAATTTGTTTTCACGTGCCTCATCAATGCTCAGTTCATTATTGCTATTTGGCAGCATATTACTGGAAGTCTTCTGTGGAATTTCAAGCTTCTTAGGAGAAACTGTCTTTGTCTGCAAGCTTTCATTAACCAGGAAGACTGACCTATTAGTGTCACAAGGGCCGGATGCAGATGTATCTTTTTGTAAACCATCTATTGTTTTCATTTGTAAAGCTGATGAATAGGTTCCTGAAGGCTTCACAGCAGAACTTTGCTTATCCCCAAATGAATCTGATCCAATAGCATGATTTCCACTAATCTTTTTTTGGTCAGATTCTAACAAATCAAGCTCTCCTCTTTCTTTACCATGGTGGGGCTGTGGGCTTTGCAGAAGCCTTCCTTTGTTTGTGCTCGATGAAAACCTCACTTGTTTTAGTTTTTCCATTGAAATTTGTGTGCCATCTTCTGCTTCGTCCACAAGAGAGTTCTTCTCAGAATCTCCTTCAAAAATAGTTGCAGTAGAAAGACCATTCTTCTTCTGAACATCTAACATCTGACTAACACGAACTTCTGAGTCAGTGGAACTTGAACTTGAGCTGCGCTTTAGAATGCCCCTGGGAGGTGTACCAGTGCCATTAATCCTCTCAGTCTGTTTGGTTGGTTTTGGAACAAAGTCTTCTCTTTGTGATACAGAATCTGCTGCTTTGTGAATTAATTTTCTAGCTTTTGGGACAGGACGTTTAATTAATCCCTTCTGTGATTCATCAGTAAGTTCTACAGAAGGCTTCTTATGTTTCTCTGTTTCATCATTTTGTAAGTTTGATTTAGGTGGGCTCTCTTCTGAGACTGAGAAAATTTCTGTAAGACATACATAAAGAAGAAATTATGAGTTTATACAACATTTGCCTGCATAAAAAGAAAAATATGACAGTGTAGATCTAGGATGAAGTAATTATAATGGTTTATTAAAAGCAAGTGCAATAAAAACACAGGCAGAATTTTAATATACATACATGTTAAATCCATTTTTCATTTTGATTTGTATGTAATAGCAACTTTTAACAAATTAAAATCCTGCAGTTATTTCTTATTCTAGAAATTCTAACTATTTGATGATACCAAAGACAGAGAGCACCCCAAATTTATCATCAGCAGTATTCCTGCAAGGCACAAAGTTTGCAGGAAAGAGCAGCTTTTGAATACGCATACACCTCTTCAAGGTCAGAACATAAACAACAATCTACAAAGATGGAAACAGACTATTTCTACTGTCATATGGAACCAGGTAAAGTGCAGAAATAATCTCCTGGTAGGGAGATGAAGGGCTTTTTATTACTACTGTGCAAGTCTTCCTTTTTCCTGTTTGCAAGCTTCACAACAAAGACAGGAGAGTAATTTCCACATATAATTCTAAATTAGAACTTCAAATGACTGTATTGTGATAAATCATCACTCATCAACTTGCTTGCAGACAATACTGCTGGAAAGGGAGGATTTGAAAATAAACAGGACTAAGAAAATGAATTAAAAACAAAGATCAAAGAGAGCTAGGCTGCTTCTGTTGAGCTAATAGCAATGAGTGGAAGGTCATAAAGGCGGCTATGCCAAAATCAAAGAAACATTGCTGTCCTCTTAACAGCAGTTCTGAAGAAACAGCCCTCTGAGATGCAGTTCTTAGTACTGACTGGAACTGTGAATAAAAGAAAGGAAGCAAAACACATTTATTCATGTAAACAGCCATTTCCTGAGTATATTCACATGTTTTAGATGAGGTTTGAAATAACTACTTGAAATTATCAACTAGTTTAAGGCAAAACAGGTTTTGATACCTTTCAAAAAAAGCAATAAAAGTAAAAATGATTTCCACATTCACATTTCCACAGAAATTCACAGTCATATGCTAAATAAGTGTATTTACCCTTCTCTGATAGCTGAGGTACAATGGCTGGTCTGTTTTCTGATTCCCCACTGTTCACATCATCACCTGATGCAATGGAATTAAACGGGTTTCTCCTTTGCTAAAAACAGAACGAACACCATAATTGTAGTCATATTGTTGTATAAGTGCAGCCTTCACAAAACAAACACAGGTACAGTGATTTCCTCTGCCTCACTCACCTGTCAGCAAAGAGTCTGAAAGCATACCTCTTGAATTGAATACATGACAAAACCCTAAACAATATGAATCAGGAACTGTCAGAAATGACAGTGATAGCTTCATCTAGTTCTTTCTGGAGTCACCAACAACAGAGATAAGTTACCACTCAAAGACACTTGAAAATGCCACATTATTGCAAGTTAAATAATTTTATCTCTAGTTCTGTGATCCTGGAACACAGCAGGACAATCCCTTTCAGCAGTTGAAGAGGCTGGAAACAGGATCAAGAACACCAGTTACAGATGTAGCAGCACTTTAGTGCTGAACTTTTAGTGGCTTTCATTATCTCCCTCCAAAACAAAACAAAAGACTCATTTTTTCAAACTTATAATCTTTCTTCCTAAAATCTTTAATTATCTTTACCACTGAAGTAAATAACCACACAAAATGTAGAAGATAACTTCTGGTATATTCAATATCAGTCATACCTTCACTGATGCCACTGCTGCCTTCCTAGGCCTTTCCTCTGGGTTGTCTAACACAGAGGTTATGGCTTTAGAACTGCAAAGGAAAAGTGTATAACAATTTCAGCAAACAGACAGTACTTTATGCCTTTTTGAAAAAGTAAAACAAAGATTCATTTACACATACTCAAACACAACTTCTTGGCACCTGAAGTTTTCTATTTAGCCTGTTGTCATCAGATTTAGAAACTTCTCCTTCCCCTAGCAAAGGGGATATTCTTGCTGCTTTGTTTCCTTGCAAAACTTTCTTTTCTTGTTAGAGAATTCAATCCAACTTCTACACGGCATGATAGAAATCACGTTTTTTGATATGTTTTAGATGTTTGAGCAAGATTTATGTAAATATATCTACTCTTCAAACAATAACACTGTTGCCATCTCTATCCTTGTCCTACATTTGTCCTTCTAGGACTGAAATCAAAGAGGAGGAAAGTGCCAAAATGTGAGTTGAAAAAGTTTTACAAAGTGTCCAGATGAGAAAAAACTGAGGAATCCCAACACCACTATAGCAAAGATATAACATGGCACAGATGACAACACATCCACTCAGCTTATAAGATATTCTTTCAATTAAGATCTATAAAATCTATAGTTCAATAGCATAAGTGAAGTTATTACTTGTAATAGTAAGTATAGTCCAGATATGACAAAATTAAAACAATTAGAAGAGATATTATATCAAGAATTATTTCATCTATTTGCAGAATGATAAAAGGTTTTTTTACAATCAGATTTTTACAATTTGAGTTTATCTAAACATTTCAAATATCAAAAAGCATTTGGTTTTCAAACATGAAAGTTAGATGTGGATTTAAATATGGTCTTCATAAAACAAGCACATTCAGCATCTTAATTTTATGTAGAAAATGTTGACATTAACCAACATACATATGATTCTGGGGATGGGGAACCATATGAGGCAGGAAAAATTTGTATACTCCAGACAGGAAATATGACCTCAGACTGGGAAGGAAAGCAACTCCTATGGGTTTTCCAATGCAGATGTATGAAGAGATTCCAAAAATGAATATTTCTTTGGTCAATTATCTTTGTTATGGCTGAAAAGACTTTCAGGTGGGGAGTAGCAGAGCCACAAGATATCTCAGGACAAGAATCATCATCCAGCTCTCATCAGGTTCCAGATTCTCCTCCTTGCATGAACAAAGATCTCTCCAGTCAAGTAACTGGTAACAGTGCCCTCTCGAGGGGAGAACAACTTTCCCATCTTCTCCAGGGTGTAGTACAGTTAACCTCTAAGTTTAGGGGGCAGGGGGGAAACCCTCTGGCAGTCACCCTTGAAAGGCTAGTGGCCTCTGGACTGCTAAGTGTGTTTAAGAAGTGACAGTACTTCCATTTTACAAAAGGAAAGCTGTCATTATGGGGAAGATAATATGACAGTATTGAGCAGTGTGAACACAAGGCTAGCAAAAAAATACCAGTTATAATCAGAACTATGAACTTCTATATCTCTTCCTTGTTCTTTTGGTTCAGTACTACCTTTAAGAAATATACCACCATGCATAGAGATAGAGACTTAAGGTATGAGCTGATCTTGTAATGGGTGAA